GGCAGTGGCAGTGGCAGTAGCAGTGGCAGTAGCAGTGGCAGTAGCAGTAGCAGTAAGCAGTAAGCAGTAAGCAGTAAGCAGTGGTGGTGGTGGTGGTGGTAGTAGTAGTAGTCGTCGTCGTAGTGGCAGTGGCAGTGCGAGTGGTAGTGGTAAGGGTAAGGGTAGTGGAAGTGGTAGTGGGAGTGGCAGTAGTGGTAGTAGTCGTGGTGGTAGTTGCTCTTGTAGTGGATGCAGGAAAGTACTGTAGTAGTACTAGTAGTACTCTTATTACTAGAAGTTGTGGTGGTCGTCGTCGTTGAGGAAAGCAGACGCATTGCTAGTTGGAGCTCCCATCACCCAGACTCACAAGGAGGACCTTTATTGAAAACCTTCATGTAGGGATGGTGCGTTGGGTTTGTTGTAGAATCGCCATTTCCTACCTGGCGCTCGCTGATTGGCTCTCAGCTTTCGTTTTGGGGAGCTGGGCTCAAGCTGTGATCTTGCCGAGCGTGGCAGGGCTGCGGGGGCCATGTCGAAGGCAGACCATGTTGCCGTGACTGGGTCCATGTTGAGGAACTGCACATAAGTAAGTGTAGAAGGCAATAGTAGTGTTCACTAGACATCCCCATTGTGGTCTCGTACTTTGAGTTCGTGATCGCGCACCCAGGTGAGCGCATTTGGTTTGATGGACTGCGGCCGTGGGGTGCGTGGTGTGCTTTATGGTATCTGCTTTACCCTCCTCTTCCTCTGGGCCACTCTTGGCTACTTCCTGGTCTACATCCAGTATCTCCCACCGGATCCAACGGATGACTACTGTGGGATTACCGCCTTTCTGTGCCTGTGGCTGTCAGTCTTTGCATTTGTCGACAATCCCGGCGAGAAACGGACGCGCATCCAGAGGTGGGAGGAGACCGCCACCATGCCACACTCCGGGATAAGCCTAAACCCCAAACGCTAAACCCTGCCCTAGTGGGATCCCCTGCGGACACGGTACTGTGGAAAAAAAGCCTGAAATAAAAATCCCTAAACCCCAAACCCGGGATGCGGGCTTGTTTTTTGTAGCAAGGCTTCCCTGGGCTGAACCGTTATAATCGACCCTGAACCTGCGGACGAAACAAAGTTCCAGCTTCAAAGGTCGGGGTATTGCAGAAGTGTCGCAGTAGGGTTTAGGGTTTAGGGTTTAGGGTTTAGGGTTTAGGGTTTAGGGTTTAGGGTTTAGGGTCACAGTAGGGACTGTAGCGGTGGTCATAGTCCGCTCCCCGCCGTCCTTGAGGAGTTCATTACCATGTGGGTGTTGACCAGCGGCCTCGCCCAAGTCTTCTGGGAGTTGCCCTTCGTCCTTTGGAAGGCAAGGTGCAGGGTCCTAGGTTTAGGGTTTAGGGTTTGGGGTTTAGGGTTTTAGGGTTTAGGGTTTAGGGTTTAGGGTTTAGGGTTCAGGGTTCAGGGTTCAGGGTTCAGGGTTCAGGACTGTCATGATTGCCAGCGCAGTAATTACGCAGGTGCCTTGAGGATTCGCATGTGGGTTGACAGGATCCGCAATGATGGTGATAGTAACTGGTAGTGATGACGACAGTCATCATCATCGTCAACATCATCAACATCATCATCATCATCATCATCATCATCATCATCGTGATCACCATCACCATCACCATCACCATCACCATCACCATCACCACCACCATCACCATCACCATCACCATCACCATCACCATCACCATCACCATTACCACCACCATCACCATCACCATCACCATCACCATCACCACCACCACCGTCATCATCGTCGTCATCACCAGCATCAGGATGATCACCCGGGCCACGGTCATCAGCGACATCATCTTCATGGGAGTTTCCGAAAATAAGGGGGGACCTTGGGGTCCTTATAATAAGGATCCTACTATTTGGGGTACTATATTAGGGTCCCCTATTTTCGGAAACTCCCTCATCAGGACTGTCACCTCATTGCCGCATCCCATGGTTAGAAAACCCAAGGTATCGGTAGCCATGCTTCGAAGTTTAGGCTTAGGGCTCCGGCTTCTCGGCACATCCATCTTTCACCTCCACCCCCGGAGAACCAACATAGAGCAAAGGCCCAACTCGCCCGAATGAAGTCCAAGCGGCAGCATGGGGTTCTCGTCGTCGTCACGGTTGGGGTCTGAAAGCCGGGTCTCTACGATGCCGGTGTCTGAACCCATCTCTGGACAGAGGTGCGGTACTTGCAGCCCATCAAGTCCACAAAGACGCTCGAGGTGCCCTTGGTATCGTAAGGGGAGTGTCAGCGATGGTGTCTGGTGTTTTGCCATGCAGGCAGCCCGACCCTTCAACCCTCACTCATACCTGAACCCCACAACCGGTATACCCTCCTAAACCCTAAACCCTAAACCCTAAACCCGTAAACCCCAAATCCCAAACCCTAAACCCTAAACTGAACTCGGAGAAGCGCAATCTCTAACTCCAAGCACCTACCGGACAAGTCCCGCGCCTCAACGGTAACGGCCAAGCCCTCAGCGCTAAAGACAGGCCTACGACGCCAAATCTTCCAAACCCGAAACCCTTGAACCCGAAGACTCTGCCTACATCCTCAAAGGCCCAAGCCGAAAAAGCAGATCAACAACGAATCCTAAAATCCTGAAGCTCTGAACGTCTTTCTGAAAGTACAGGTAGATGAGCTATGGGCCTGGCCTTTCTGGATGTGCCGTGGCGTCCCGTGTTGAGTTCTCAAGGGCGGAGATCTGGGTTTTGTTTCCCGCGCAGCAGGTTTTCGGTCGGGGCTTAGGGTATGCGCTCTTTATAGAAACCTTACGTATGATGTTCTCGTCTTTGAGGGACGCCGAACTCATTGTGAATTCCAGTACTTTGCAATTGTCGAACTTGATAGAACTGTGCTCCTGCCACCGTCCCGCGTTCGCACGCTGGCGAAAATCGAAATGGTACGGTGCCGTGCGTATTGTGGAGTGAACTCGATCTTCCCTCTGCCGTCCGGACTTGTGCTCTCGCCACGTGGGGCGGTCCGCATTTTGGGCCTCACGGGGGGTCTTGCAACTGTCGGTAGTCGGTAATGCCCCCGGAGTGATTTTCGGGACTGTAGGATTTGGGTTTGGGGTCTACGCATCCGACTTCGAGTTAATGAAGCAGATCTATGTTTTCGATGCCTTTAGGTACGGATCCGGCGACACCCGCTACATGCGACAGCATTCCTCCTCGCACGCCACGGAGACGATGTTAGTTTTGTCCGGTCCTTTCGAGCTCGCGGCCGTCGCCATGTTCAAGGCTTTGCTGTTGGGTCTCACGTTTCACTCTCTGAGGGTTCCTTACATATACAGATAGGGGGTAGTTGCCTCATCTAACGGTCCTTGCAAAACAGACTCCACTGCCTACGGTCCAGACCGGGATAGCTTGTTTTCCGGAACTTCCATGTTGGGCTGTACTCTTTCAACCTCCAACACAGTGCATCCCACAGTGTTTCTGCAAAGTTTACATGCGCCAGACTCTAGGCACTAAGCTGAGGGCTCACCTGAACTCCGATTCCTGCTCTAGACCCTACAACGTCAAGCCTAGCCCTAGCGATTGTGAAGCAAGGTGGGAGTGCCCCGAGCCCACACCTACAGCGGACACCTCCTTAAACCCTCATATCCCTCATATAAGGTTTAGGGTTTAGGGTTTAGGACCCTCATATAAGGGGCCTGAGATGGACTTGAAGACTACACACTACCAAGAAAAACCCTCGAGGTTTCCGAATATGTGCGTTCGTCCTTTAGTATACCCCAATGGCCCAATATCTTATTCGTAGAAATTTAAGGCCCCTATACCAAAGCCCCCCAAAAGCTCGAACCCTAAAGAAAACCCTCATACAATCCTACTCGGCCTATTTCGACCCCTATGTATCCGTGATTTGGTTTAGGAAAAGGGGTTTCAAGCTCTGGGGTTCAGGCCTCGGAGATTTGAGGAATTTGAGGAGTCTAATTGGACTGGGCCTGTCAATGTTTGGATTTCAGACGGGATTCGAGTATGCACCGGAATTAGTCTATAAGGCCCCCCATGTATAGAGTATCATATTACATATATATATATATGTATATATATATATATATATGTATATATATATATATATATATATATAATCATATGCATTGATTTAAGTATTTCTTCATGTCGTCGTACCTCATCTGTATTTACATGTACTTCTACCTTTATATATACATATACTAACGATCTTGCTAAACCTGTAGCCACCCGAAACTCAGAAACAACCGCTTACGGCAGACCCTTAGCTACTCCTTGAGCCATCGCAGGCGCGTCGCCACTACAAAACGGCTCTCCTGATTCCTGGTCGATAGCTTCGGGTTCAGGGTTTAGGTTTTGGGGTTTAGGGTTTAGGGTTTAGGGTTAGGGATCGTGTGCATCGTAAGGAAGCAGGACAAGCCCTGGCGTAATCTATTGTAGTATACTACTATAACCTACAATAATACACGGTCATCTAACATAGACCATACTTTTCTACAACGTACTATACTCTACTACAAACTACTGGAGTATACCGTAGTAGAATTAATTACGACTATATAGACACAAGCGGTCGCTCGATTGGGGCTTTAAGGGAAAATCGCCGGCCTCAGGCGTGAGAGAGTTTGGGTTACAGAGGTTTACGGTTTGGTCTTTAGGGGCTTTTAGGGTTCAGGGTTCAGGAGTTTATGGGTTCGGGTTTAGGGTTTAGGGAGCTTTTAGGGCGATATCGGAGACACAAAGAAGCATACAAACATGCGGTGGAAGCCCCTTACAGGTATATTGCTTTAAGAACTTTATGCTTTGTGTCGCATAGGCCGTCAGGTTTGGAGCACACGAGAATCTCAGGATATCGGCCCTGACTCATTGGGGTTTCTTCTGGGCGAACACCTCCGTGATCTACATCGCCGAGATCTACGACAACTACGAGAATATCGCCGACGGCTGGGCAGGATATTGGGTGAAGTGGGCCGGTCTCAACTTGCAATGGCCACTCAGTTTATCCATCGCTTAGGCTTTTGGTTTGGGGTTTAGTATTTCATGCCAGAAAGTTTGGACTGCTGTCCCCGTCACGTGCTAGCGGAATGTGCTTCTCAGAATTGAAGTTCGAAGTGTCTGGCTGATAGGGTTTTAGGGTTCAGGGTTGAGGGTTTAGGGTTTAGGGTTCAGGGTTTAGGGTTTAGGGTTGAGGGTTTAGGGTTGAGGGTTTAGGGTTTAGGGTTGAGGGTTTAGGGGGCCATATGCCACTTACAGCTGGTCCCCATGGCTTGCATGGCTTGCCATGCACCGAGCCATCGAACTCACGGATGAACAGTTTCAGACCACCACCTTACCCAAACCCTCCAGGTACCTACTATGTAGGGCCTGAGGGGCTCTAGTACCCTATATAGTCGGTATTTGGGGGGTTTGGGTTAACTTCTAAAGCTCAAGCACCTTAATAACCGCTGGAATCCTGCACCCGGGCATCTGGGAAAGAGCTCAGGTCAGTTTTGAGTCCGATTTGTACCTTCGCCTCCCTTTGGCTCCTTTGCGGAAAGGTGTGACTTGGCTTTGCTGTGGCACGCAGTTTTGGTCGCTTTGGGGGGTTAACAGCTTTCCGGGCTTCGGCAGTTTTGGTTTAGGGTTTTGACGGTTTTAGTGGTTCGGTAGTTGTGCGCCTAAACGTGTTTGGGGTCATCGCTTTTTGTTTATAGCTTCTTTTCGTTCTTGTCTGTTGTTCACTAAGTTCTCCGGTGATTTTAGGTAGTTTTTTCCTCGTGTTTGGGCTTGAGATCCTTTGGCGTTTATTTTATTCTTCAACGTTGGTGGGACCCAGGCGGGAGGAGACAAGATTTGAGATGTCACTGAAGGGTGATTGACCCGCCAGTGGCAGTGATACGTCGACCGCGCAGAAGACAAAACTGTTCTGATCTCCATGTCTCTCAACCTCAGACCCTTAACCAAAAATTCTCGAAGCCCGAAACCTTGAACCCTGAACACTAAACCCTAGACCCTGAACCCTAGACCCTAAACCCTGAACCCTGAACCCTAAACCCTAAACCCTGAACCCTGAACCCTAAGCCTTCAAGGGCTTATGCCCAGTTGCAACCTCAAAAGCTCGAAAGCTGAGGGTTGATTCGTGAGCATGCTCACTGAAGTGAGCCTCACTCATGCCGGGTCGCAGGTAATGTAGGGGCCTTAATACTTAGACTAGGGTTCCTTTAAAGGGGTTCCTTGAAGTGGATACTATAAGGGATACTATAAGGGCTCTATAATTAGACTTCTGGCTTTGTTGGCGTCGAATTCAGGGTGACTTTGCAATCCCTGCACCCTCGCAAGAAAACCTTGCGACCCCTGGAGCCTGAAGATGCTTGAAATGGGGGTTTCCGAAAATAGGGGGTACCTTATTTGGGGGTCCTTATAATAAGGATCCTATTATTTGGGGTACTATATTAGGGTCCCCTATTTTCGGAAACCCCCAAATCTAGGAGCCTAATGCCCAAAGTCATGCTTGGATGTTACTTGAACCCAGACACTTTTAGCCTTCCCGGCCCCCATACCCACATACAGCACCGAACAGTGCAGAGGATTCACAGAAACTTCCTAATCCCCCGCCCCCTGCGGCGGGAAGCCCTGTGACAGAACCCCGAAGCCCTTTTCCTATAGCAGCAGCAGTTGGTATAATCATGACTACTGCCAGTCTTATCCTTGTCATCATTGCTGCTAAGTGATGGATTGGCTGTAGGGCCCTACTCAGAGACAAAGGACAGCAAAGGCATCTTCACGCATCGAAGCCCATGACCTTGTCGTATGGGTAGGTCTCCAGACGAGGGTCCCTTGTTGGGTCCTTTTCATAAGGGTGCGTACTATATTGGGGACCTAGAAGGGGCCCAAATTTAGAGAACTAGGCTTGCAGTACATAACCCTACAGACACCATATAGAAACCTTGTGGAAACCCTTGTAGATCCCTTTAAGGAACCCTAAAACCCTTATGGCCACGGAAGTTAAGGCTTTGGTGGGGGTAGTTCCATTGCAGGCCTGCAGCAGCACGGTGCGGAGGTGGCGGTCATGCACCTGGTCGGATTTGGACCCCTAAACCCTAAACCCTAAACCCTAAACCCTATGCCGATGCCTTGTACCCACCCCGTTTACGGTTTAGGGTTGAGGGCTTTGGTCCAAAACCATAGCGAAGCAACCTGCGCAGTACATAGCAAACCGCAACATGCACAAAGACAAATAGATTGGGTCAGTATACTTGCTTGCATTGCAAGGATGTACTTACTAAGGATTCTAGGGTCGACTTCAGGTAATAAGCTTAAGCTTCAAAAACGAAAGCTTCAAACCTCAACGCACTCCGAAAGCTGTAGAAGGATTCCAGCGGAAGCCAAAACCCTACACCCTAAACTACTAATCCAAACCCTACACCAAACCCCTAAACCCTACACCCTAAACACCAAAGGCTTACACGTTACACCCTCAACCGCATACCCGGACAGGGCACTGAAATCACCCTTGGAGAGCAGACACCCAGCAGATCAGCTCCTAAACCTTACGATTTAGGTTTTTCCGGTACGAGTGCAGTGTATGTAGGTGCACAAACCGGTAGCTGCAAAACTTAAGCACTGTTGACCTTAGATCTTGAAGTTTGAAGAATCCTTGCGAATCCTAAGCCCCGAACCCAAAATCACAAGAACTTAAACAGAAATCCACCACCCCCCCTTGCCCCCCGAACCAAGGAACTCCCTAAAAGAACCCTAAACCCTAAACCCTAAACCCTAAACCCCAAACCCCAAACCCTAAACCCTAAACCCTAAATCCTAAACCCTAAACCCTAAACCTTAAACCCTAAACCGCAAGAAGATCAGGAACGGCGGCGATGTCCGTGGCAGAGCCGACTATGAGGCGGGCCCCTTCTCCCTGGGCGATCTCTACAAGGAGCTCGCCTTTGCGGAGGTGCCTGGCTTAGGGGCCTTCTCTCGGGTTTAGGGTTTAGGGTCTATAGGGTTTATAGGGTTTAGGGGTTTAGGGGTTTAGGGGTTTAGGGGTTTAGGGTTTAGGGTTACTCCACCCTCAAGCATCAAGCCTCGTGGAGACCTGGGAGTCT